CAGAGACTTGGCTTTGTCACTGGTCCCACCTGGAGCCCCAGGTGATCCTTCTGTCCATTTCTCTCTGGGAATGCCCCAGGCAAAAGGGCCAGCAGGCTGAGACTCACCAATTTTGTGATACAATTCTGGCAGCTGCACCTCCACCTTCTCCCTCTGGAACAGGTGATACTCGGCCTGCTCACACACGGGTGGGATCATGTTGAACTGCCTGGCCACGGAGTAAGCCTCCTGCAGAGGAGAAACCCACGGAGAAAACGCTTCAGAAAGTGAAAATATCCTGCAGGACACACCAGGCCATGCTCCCTGAGCGTGCAGGAGGTGGCCAAGGCAAGGATCTGCAATCCTGGCATCTCCTGGAGTCACAGCCAGGTTTGGGACATCAAAGCCCATCTCATCCCATGGGCCAGGCTGACAGCAAAAGGAAAGGCTTGATTTCAGTCAAACCCAAACGGCACAAAGCCAGATAAAGCACCCAAAGGTCAGCCCATCCCCTGGAGCAGGCTGGAGGGGACCCTCACCCACCATGATCTCCATGGCGCTCCAGCGGGACGTGCCCCAGTACATGGCCATGCCCTGGTTGATCACATGTGTCATCGCCCGCACGATTTCTGGAGGGAGAAAAGGAGTGTCAGAGGTGTCCTGAGGCCACGTTTCCAGCACCAAAACCACCTCCAAACACCACAATCCCGAGTGCTGGACACCACTCCTGCTCTGCTCTCCTGTCCGGGTGGGGCTGGAAAAGCATTTGCAGTACAAACATCAAGACATTGAGGTTAAAAACTGCTTTTCCCACCTGCCTCTTGCCTACCACGGCCTTAGGAGAACATTTCTTTCAAAAGGGAACACAAGAGGGCAGCACAGTGGAAAAATAAACTTCAAAATAAATCCTATTTTTTTTTATTGAAATTTGCTTCCTGAAAGTGCATATCTGGGTCTGCCTCTTTTTCCCAGGAATACCGGGGACAAAGCTGCAAGAACAGATGGTTGAGCCCTACTCCACCAAGGGCCCTGTCACCCTCAGGTGTCCCCTCTGCCACAGCCAGCACAGCAGTGCCTCTGGTTCTCTGGGACATGGGAGCTTGCAAGGCCACACACACCAGGATGGGATCTTGGATTTCACCCCTCACACCTCCCTGCCTGCCTGGGGGTGAAAAATCCCTCATGAAGATTAGTTTAATGGAATCCCAGACTGGTTTGGGTTGGAAGGGATGTTAAAACTCATCCTCTGCCATGGCAGGGACTTTCCACTGTCCCAGGGGTTCCCAGCCCCAGTGTCCAGCCTGGCCTTGGGCACTGCCAGGGATCCAGGGACAGCCCCAGCTGCTCTGGGCACCTGTGCCAGGCACTGCCCACCCTGCCAGGCAGGAATTCCATCCCAACATCCCATCCATCCCAACATCCCATCCATCCCTGTCCTGTGTCACAGCCCCCAGGAGCCACGAGCTGTAACCCCCTGCCCTGGCTGTTCCTGGCAGGGCTGCAGCACCGACACAGAAATAGGGGGAAAATGAGCTAAACTCACTCTGAGAAGGAAATGAAACAGTTCTGGGGCACTGCTGCCTGTGGGCTCCTCCTCGTGGGCAGCAAGCA